TAGTCAATAGACTAGTCCATAGACTATTCAATAGTCTAATATTTAGACTACCTTATAGCCTAGCAAATAGACTAGTCAATGGACTACTGCATAGACTAGATTAGTCAATGGATTACTCAACAGACTAGATTAATCAATGGACTACTCCATAGACTAGTCACTAGAATTGCTCAAAGACTAGTCAAGGACTAGTTCATAGACTAGTCCATAGACTAGTCGATAGAAGAGTCAATAGACTAATTCATAGACTAGTCCATAGATTAGTCAAGAGACTAGTCCATAGACTAGTTCAAAGACTACTCAATAGACTAGTTCAAAGACTAGTCAATAGAGTAATACATAAGGAAGTAGATAGACTAGTCAATAGATTAGTCCACAGACTAGTCAATAGGCTTGTAGATAGACTAGTCAATAGACTAGTCCAATGACTAGTCAATAGACTAGTCCCTAGACTATACAATAGACTAGTCAATTAAATTCAATAGACTAGTCAATTGACTATTCAATAGACTAGTCAATAGTCTAATCTTTAGACTACCTTATAGTCTAGCAAATAGACTAGTGAATGGACTACTCCATAGACTAGATTAATCAATACGCTAGTCGATAGGTTAGTCCATAGACTAAACTATAGGCTTGTCCCGGGGGTACTTAATAGACCATTCCATAGACTAGCCAATAGACTATTCCATAGACTAGGCTATAGACTAAACTATAGGTAAAATTGTGTAATTGATATAATTTCCCTTATTACCAACAAGAATAATATGCAAAAAGGTACCTAAAATTGTGTGTAATTATAACCAACACTACAACCAATACCAACAACAATACAAAAAAAGCTATGAATAAATTCTTTTCTGGTACTCGTAGACAAGAAAAATCTTTTTTTTTTCTACCAGCTGATTGTGAAGGCGTATAAAATGATAAAAATAAATGTTGATGATGTTAAGCCTCATCATCATCTTCTTCTGTTAAATGTCCTTTAACAAAAGAACTTCAACTAAAAGAATAAATATTAAGCAAGTGTGGCTTTTCCCAGCCCTCAAAAATGAATAAAAGAAAAAAACCAAAGAGCAACCAGTGTTACAATGAGAAACATCAGGTGAACTAAATGTTTAGATCTTGTGTGTTTCGGTGTTTTTTTTGGGAGGGCATGACTTGTTTGTTACTCCTTCGTATTGTGGCAATATTACAAAAACCTAAAGAAAAAAACAACAGACGTGTGCTGCTAAGATCACATAACATTATTGTTGCACGTGACCACAAGTCGAGCACTACTATTTATAGGCTGGTGGTAGTCTGAGTGACTAACTGAATGAATGACTGGTGTTACTTACAAACTGATATGGCACGTTTTTTCTTATGGCCTTTTTGCTTGTGCTGATGCAGAGTATTTTGTTTGTTTTTTGGAAATTTTATTTAAAGCAATTCAGTTGCTTTAAAACAATTTTATGCTTATTATCCGAATAAGGGCTTAACGATTAACTTGAAAAGCATTTGACAAATTATGTTCCAACCAACAGCAAAAAAAATGTACTTTCTGGCACACAAACACACACACACTCATGTTCACAAAATAATCGATATCGCCTTGCCAGCCATACGATTTCAATTATTCAAAAAAGAAGCCTGAGGTTAAATTAAAAAAAAAGAATAAAGAAATACATGTCACCACATGTTTCGTTATGATTTCTGTTTCTTTAATGGGAGGTATTGTTTTTGAAAATATTTTGTCTTTTATTTTGTTTTATTTAAATTTTTGCTTACGGCTTTGGTAAAAAACTAAATCTAAATGCATATGTTTTGATAACATTTTATTGTTAATGCCTTGAAAGGTTGTGACACTTTATTTTCCGGTTTTAGATTTTGAATTTATTTGTTAAAAATCCTTCTCTTTGTTGTATTTTGAATTTGTTCTTGAACTGTGTGTTAATATTATCCTTTGTTTTCAATTCATTTGTTTTTAATTAGCGCTATATCCTTTCAAATATTTGTCAATGCAAAATTACAAATTCCCTCCCAAAATTATAATTGTGGAACAAGGCAGCTGAGGCATTTTACAAAACTAGCGTCAACCAACAAACAAACAAACAAAGTAACTAACTAACTAACTAACTAACTAACTAACTAACTAACTAACTAACTAACTAACTAACTAACTAACTACTAACTAACTAACTAACTACTAACTAACTAACTAACTAACTAACTAACTAACTAACTACTAACTAACTAACTAACTAACTAACTAACTAACTAACTAACTAACTAACTAACTACTAACTAACTAACTACTAACTAACTAACTAACTAACTAACTAACTAACTAACTAACTACTAACTAACTAACTAACTAACTAACTAACTAACTAACTAACTAACTAACTAACTAACTAACTAACTAACTAACTACTAACTAACTAACTAACTAACTAACTACTAACTAACTAACTAACTAACTAACTAACTAACTAACTAACTAACTAACTAACTAACTAACTAACTAACTAACTAACTAACTAACTAACTAACTAACTAACTAACTAACTAACTAACTAACTAACTAACTAACTAACTAACTAACTAACTAACTAACTAACTAACTAACTAACTAACTAACTAACTAACTAACTAACTAACTAACTAACTAACTAACTAACTAACTAACTAACTAACTAACTAACTAACTAACTAACTAACTAACTAACTAACTAACTACTAACTAACTAACTAACTAACTAACTAACTAACTAACTAACTAACTAACTAACTAACTAACTAACTAACTAACTAACTAACTAACTAACTAACTAACTAACTAACTAACTAACTAACTAACTAACTAACTAACTAACTAACTAACTAACTAACTAACTAACTAACTAACTAACTAACTAACTAACTAACTAACTAACTAACTAACTAACTAACTAACTAACTAACTAACTAACTAACTAACTAACTAACTAACTAACTAACTAACTAACTAACTAACTAACTAACTAACTAACTAACTAACTAACTAACTAACTAACTAACTAACTAACTAACTAACTAACTAACTAACTAACTAACTAACTAACTAACTAACTAACTAACTAACTAACTAACTAACTAACTAACTAACTAACTAACTAACTAACTAACTAACTAACTAACTAACTAACTAACTAACTAACTAACTAACTAACTAACTAACTAACTAACTAACTAACTAACTAACTAACTAACTAACTAACTACTAACTAACTAACTAACTAACTAACTAACTAACTAACTAACTAACTAACTAACTAACTAACTAACTAACTAACTAACTAACTAACTAACTAACTAACTAACTAACTAACTAACTAACTAACTAACTAACTAACTAACTAACTAACTAACTAACTAACTAACTAACTAACTAACTAACTAACTAACTAACTAACTAACTAACTAACTAACTAACTAACTAACTAACTAACTAACTAACTAACTAAATAACTAACTAACTAACTAACTAACTAACTAACTAAATACTAACTAACTAATTAATTAACTAACTAACTAACTAACTAACTAACTAACTAACTAACATAATTTCTCTGGAAGAATTTGATCCATTCAATATATTTCCACTTTATTCTAGGCATAATTTCTTTGGGAAGACTTGATTTGTTCTACTTAGACATATTTTCTCTATAAAAAGTTGATATATTTTAAACATCTTTCCTCTGCAAAAAGCTGATCTGTTCTAGATATCTTTTCTCTGAAAAAACTTGTTCTAATCTAAACATCTTCCCACTGGAATCTATACTCTCTTGATCTATTCTAGACATAATTTTTCTGAGATAACTTGATATGTATTAGGCAACTAAAGAATCTATTCTAATTTTCTCTGTGAACACGTGATCTTTATAGTTTTATAAAATAAAACTTTTTGTCTAATACTACAAATTTCCGCTATGAATGAAATTAAGTTGCCTTTAGCTGCCCTTAATAACATATGTCTGTAAGTTGAAAATTTTACAGAACTCTTAGAAATTCAGAGGTAAAATGTTTGCTTAAAATCTCTAGTGTATATGATTTTAATAATTTTATATTTTCTTAGCGTGGATTCCACAAATCTATGTCTAAATTCATACGAATCCATGATAAACTAAAGAACCCCTTTATAATCAGTATAAACAAACTGAAAATGAGCTTATCTTAAATCTCGTTTAAAATATCTTTTTACATAATTGATATTATTGTGTATAAAGGTTAATTTAGATTTAAGACAAACGAACCAAAAACATTCGTTGAAAAAAACACAACATTTGTTGTACAATGTACTCATCGTATGAGGATTGTCTTGAAGGTCATAAATATACCCGAAAAAGAAAAAAAAACAAATGACTTCAATACCTACAGACACAGATACTGTGGCATACCAAAGAAAAAAATAATTTCTTCAGATTTGGTCATGAGACAGATCATTCTTTCTTTTTTTCTTCTTCTTAGCCATAAAGGTATTCAAAGATATTTATTCCTTGTATTCGAAACTATATTTTATGTTAATTTTGATTTTATTTTTGGGAAAATGAAAAAAAAAATATCAAAATGTCAACAAATATTTAGTTACGTACAATTCATGAATGTATGTATTTCTCTTATTCTTAGAATTGATATGAGGATCATCATGAGATATTGAGAACAGCAAATAACCTAAGAAATCTTTAATTTTGAAGATCTTGTTATATTCCAAACATGTTAACTTGGTCTTTAGCATGTCTTTAAGGTATTCTTAAGTATATGTATGTATGTAGTATGTATGATTGGTAATGTTTGTGTATGTGACAGGATGGTTGACATAATAAATAATGTTTTAAACATGAAAACCAACTCATTAATAATTGTAATGATTTCGAATTGAAATATTTGTCTAGAGATTGACATTTTCGAAAGAATTACAGTGCATGGCAGTTAACAAATTCCTTATTTTTTTTAATAATAACATCAGTTTTTATTTTAATTTAAAATTTTTATTAATATTTTGAGTAGTTTTATATAACATGATTTTTATTTATTTTTTTCACACAATAATTAATGAACTTAATAATAAAAAAATTTAACAAATTTGTTTTTTTTTTTAATTTTTACAAAATTATTTTTTTAAATCTTATTTGTATACTTATGTTGTTTTCAAATTGCACATTTTATGTTAATTTTTTGCTATAAGTTTTATATATTTTTTAGAAAAATATTAAGACTTATTAATTGTTTTAAACAAAATTTATAAATATTATAAATTATTGGGAAAATGTAAAGTGTAACGATTTTAAGTCACATTGACAAAATCAATTTTGCATTCTGGGGTATCATGTTCTTAATACACAGGCCGAAAAGATTTGAAAAAAATTTGAAACTCTTAGACTTTTCTAAAGGATTGAATCGCACTGACCTCAGATTTTCTCCATCACATCTGAGATTTGAGAAATTTAAAAAACACTATTTTTGAATCCATTTTCAATATAAAATATCGCTGATCAACAGATAAGAAAAATTGCATCCTATATATACATATATATAATATTTTAGAAAATTTTCATTCTTCTAGTTCCTTTCCGCTGAACCTTCTTTCTTTATGTAATAATTTAAGAACATTTAATTCTTTAGCATTCTTTTCTCTGGATAATATTTCTACTATTGGAAACAGAAGAATGGAAATATATAGATTGTTCAAGATTCCTTTGAGGACCTAATATATTTTGTCTACTTCCGATACCAAACATTTCTGTCAGTATATAGAGATATCGGAAGAAGATGCTGTATGTGCTATATAGGCCAAAATATACCTAATTTGATAGAGGATTTTTTAAACTACTAGCTTATACTGGATGCCGAAATTCGTGCAATGGGTGGCGGCCATTGACATTATACCTAAAATCAGTTCTCCGGCTGCTTTAGTTTCTTTTTTTACATAACAGATGTTGCGGGGTATCTTTATTGTCGATAACTAGTACCCCCGGGGGCACGTTGCCTTGGTGAAATCTACTTTTTGGTGTTATTGCAATATCCCGGGGAAAAGAGGTGCTACCAATATCACTAGTCTGCCGGAACTATAAAATAGTGATGATCAAATGTATCCTCGGCCTTTCCTTGAAATGATTTGACATGGGGTCGGACAGAGCACCACATAATCTGGCACTACGGTTGGTTGAGGTTCTTTCGGGATCCACGTAGTGGCTGTGGTTTAAAGCCAAATTCGTGGGGAAAGTATTCTGGTTTAAGAACTGATATATCCAAATGCCATATATGTCTGGATTCTCTTTCCGGTGCTGTTGCCATCTCAACAGATGTCACTAGGTGATTCCTGAACCTGTTGAGTATATCTTACTCTTCGCGTAGTAGGGCGCCAGTATAGGTTGGGAAATTTTTTGGTTGACACTTGGTAGTTGCCTGTCATTCCGTCTTTATGGTCTGAGAATGGAACTGATGCAATTTGTGAACGATCGGGAAAGACTCCTCTGCCCGACAGGAGCCTAGTACTGATTTAGTAGACCTTTTACTTCAGGGAAATTCTCGGTGCTGTTGCCATCTCAACAGGATGCATATTGTTTCATGCTACGCGACCTATAGGTGAGGCCTTCTACTCAACTTGTCGGGGCAATTATCGGGTTCGAATTGACTTTCGAAATTCCTACATCTTTTGTCACATTATCTGACATACAGGTGCTGTTGCCAGATCAACAGGGCCATCTCAGTAGTGTGGTTGCGCCGGCTTAAAGAGGTTAACAAATGCACTGGAATTGCATCATTAGTTGCATTTTAAATAATGCAATCTTTAATGACATCGAAAGTGTGGCCACCTTCCGGTTTACCGGAGGATTGATTTCACCCAATGTTGGGGTAGTTCTACATATTAGCTTTAGACCAGTGATTGTTTTTTCCTTGTTGGGGTTTGCATTCAGATTGATCCCATGCTGCCTGTCATTCCGCAACGGGGCTTAAGTCTACCCAGTGGATGGACCGTGAAATAAGGCCGTCCAGGCAGGTGTTCACGTTAAGCACTTAAACATCTTGTCGATAACTAGTATAAATTTCAATGAAAATCGTTACACCAAACATTTTCCTTAATTATACATTACAAATTATCACTTTTGCTTAGTTATGAATTATAAAATCTAATCGTATACAAAGTTATAGTCAAAATAGAAAAACTTTTTTCTCATTGTGAATTATTTGAGACAATGAAATGTTTAAGGGTTAGTAAACCACGATTTACAAAAAAATTAAAAATATCCAAATTTTTAAAACAATAGATAGTAGAGAAAGAGAGGGAGAGTAACAAAAAATATTAAGACGGATTATCCTGTGATAAATACAACATATGAGTGCCGATAAACATCATTCATAAGATCCAAAATAACACACATGCAAAGCATTCATTCCATAATAAATATAAAGATACATATATGAAATATGTTTTTTATCTAAAATCTAAGGATTATAGTGTTGTGAATTTTTTTAGAAAAATTTTGTTAAAAGAGAAATCTTTGATTTTTATCCTTCACATTTTTAATAATTGCTTTTCTAGGGGAATTTGTAATAAAAATTTTTATACACATTTTTATCAAATAATGCTTACAGCAGCAGACTTCCTTTATCTTTTGTTAGTTGGGCCCTTTCTTCTTCTATTTTTTACAATTTTTCAAATGCATTGTTATTTGTTAACATCTCACGTGTTAAACGCCACACCTGTTTGGCTGCCTGTTCTAAGGCGCTGGGAGATTTACCTTTAAATAGATCCAAACTAGGTAGAAAATAATGGGGACAACGTCTGTACTGTAAGCAGGATATTAACTGCAGAAATATGCCATTGATACGATCCGCAATACATGGTTCATCCCATTCAAAATCTCGGGGATGTTTTTCACATTCATACAATAGTAAATTTTTCAAATGATAGGCTGTTATGGGATTACCGGGTAAATCCAAATGACGATCTCTTAAAGTTTTCAAAATGCTAAGCAAACGACGACGGCAGCCACCTAAAAAACAAAACTATTTATAAAATTCTTTATTTCGCATATTTATTTTTAATATACCTTGCAACAATCTATTTTCGGCTTCAAAAAAACTCAACACCCAAGCATCTCCCTCCATGCTGGCGGCATTATTTGTTTTATTCTGAAATATGACACTTTCCTTAGACAACAAATCAAATCCCTCCGTTTTGACTTCAGCCACTATACTCGGATGTGGCCAGGGTATATGAGGCAATGGCCAATGTGCTGCCGATCTCGGCCATATACCCGAACATTTAAATGCCGGTGTTATTTGCACTATATACCGTTCACGTATTCTCAATTTTACCTCCGTAGTATCACCAATCATTTTCACCATATCACGATAAATACTTTTATCACATGCTTGTGCTACTAGAGTCTGAAAACGTGCTCTAATTTTTCTTGACGATAGATAACCGGAGGCTGTTATAAATTCCACCCATAAAGACATGGATCTTTTGCGGCCATCACTTAATTTGAGCACAGCACAACCGGGTAGAGTACCATCATCGACGAAATTGAAAACACCCATTTGATTGAGATATAAAACAATTTCGAATTCTGTGGGGGAGATGACTTCAACGCCTTCATATCTGAAAGGAAAATAAGATTTAAAGAAAAATTGTGATTATTTTCCCATTTTCCTTTTTAGAGAATTTTCGATAAATTTTTTATTAAAACAAATTTTGTTGAATTTTCTATTGAAACAAAACATTTGATAAACTTTCTTTGTATTAAAAGAAAAATTTACAATAAATTTCGTATTTTTGGAAAATTTTTGATAAATTTTCTTTTCTATAGAAAATTTTCTTTAAATTTTGTTTTCTATAGAAAACCTTTTATAAAATTTCTTTTCTATAGAAATTTTTTGATAAATTTTCTTTTCTATAGAAAATTGATAAATTTTCTTTTCTATAGAAATTTTTCGATAACTTTTCTTTTTATAGAAAATTTTCGATAATATTTTTTTATAGAAAATTTTCGATAAATTCTCATTTCTATAGATAAATTTTCATTCTATAGAAAATTTTCGATAAATTTTCATTCTACAGAAAATTTTCGATAAATTTTCATTTCTATACAAAATTTTCGATAAATTTTCTTTTCTATAGAAAATTTTCGATAAATTTTCTTTTCTATAGAAAATTTTCGATAAATTTTCTTTTCCATTGAAAATTTTCGATAAATTTTCTTTTTCATTGAAAATTTTCGATAAATTTTCTTTTCTATAGAAAAAATAATGAAAAATTTCTCTTTTTATAAAAAATTTTCGATAAATTTTATTTTCTATAGAAAATTTTTTTGTAAAAAAATTTCAATAAACTTAATTTTTTGAAAAATTTTCAATAAACTTTCATTTTTATAGAAAATTTTCAATAAATTTCTCTTTTTATAGATAATTTTCGATAAATTTTCATTTCTATAGAAAAAACTATAAAAAATGTTCGATAAATTTTCTTTTCTATAGAAAAAATTATGAAAATTATCGATAAAATACTTTTTTTATAGAAAATGTTCGATAAATTTCTCTTTTTATAGAAAATTTTCGATTAATTTATATTTTTATAAAAAATTTTCGATAAATTTTATTTTCTATAGAAAATTGTTTTGTAGAAAATTTTCAATAAACTTAATTTTTTTTCGTAAATTTTCAATAAGCTTTCATTTTCAATAAATTTTCTTTTTTATAGAAAAATTTCGTTGAATTTTTTTTTTATAATATTAATTAATTTGAAAAGCAAAGTTGTTTTGACCAGTTCTAATATTAAGGATAGTTTTCGATCAGTTTTTAGAAAATTGTCGATTCAAACTTTATTTTTTAAGTATTTGCTTTTTTTACATTTTTGAGGGATTTTGATTAAAAATCCTTTTTAAAAATTTCCGATTAATTTTTGATAAAATCTTTAATTTCAACTTTTTTTTCTGAAATATTGATCAATTCCTAATTAGAGAAATTTCAACAATCTACTCTTTTCCCAACATTACGTTAACTTTCAATCTTCTGTCAACATTCCCACATTAAATGATCTTTTGTCAACCATTTAATCAATATAAGCCCACTTGATTATTGTGGCAGCCATGACGACAATGATCATGATGCCTTTTCAATGAAATGATGGTGATGCAAAGAGAAGACTGAAGAGAGTATTAAAGACCCATTCAACCATAAAACAATTAGCACTTAAATATATACAAACATATTCAGGCGTAAAACAAGTAGTATTTTATGTTTTTTTTCTTTCTCGTTTTACACTTGAAGACAGATTAAAAAGTAATACATACAAAACACAACAAACAAATTGATCTCTTTGGAAAGATGTAACAACAGATTTTGACAGATCTTAAGGCAATTTCAATACATCATCAACAATTTGTATGTGTTTTTATATATATTTTTGTAGCAGATTTACGACACCAACTGTAAAGTACAAACATGTATTCGTAATTATCATGGGTGTTTTTTAAAAGGCTGCCACAAAAGAAAAAAATAATAAAAACCACATCTGAAGTGGTAGCAATTGGTCACCTAGTGGGAACAATTGAGAATATTTAAAATTTAGATTCTAAATAGTAGAATTTGATAATTTGTAATGTAAATACTCTAAAGATCAGAGACATTGCTGTTGAGAAAATCTATTGCTGATTTAAAAATATCAATATTTCAGTAAGAAATTCCTATTGGGTCTTTTAATTGGCAGTAGCTGGGTATGACAGCTCTTAAATTTTACATTTTCTTTTACTAACTAAAAGAATGTTAAAAAAATACAAAGAAATATTTTGTTTTTCTTCTTCAATTTCATTTATTGTTAAGTCATCTTCATCGGCTGTCTCAACGCCATTGTGATCGTGATCTTCATCTTCATCATCATTATCACCATCTTATTGGTAACTAACGTTCATAAAAGATCATTTTGTTTTGGTTTTTCTTTAAATGTGGTTAAATGTGCTATCAACAGCTTTAAAACTAAAGTAAAATTCTTTAACTGGTTTTTATATTTTTCACAATGGTCCTTCTAAACTCTATTGAATGTTTATTTGAAAAAAAAAAATGTTCAATTTTGTTGGTTTTTCTGTTCATTTTGGTATTTTTTCATTTTAGATACATTTTAACCAGATTTCTTTTTGTTGGTGTTGGGATTCCTTTTTTTATTTTTGTCACTTAATTGGTGTTAATTGTTTTTTGACAGTTTTGATTTCATTCTTTGTTTGTATACAGTTTGTGACGTGTGAAAATTTCATATTCACTTCAATTCACTTTTTGGTTTAAATTTTTTTTTTTATATTTATTGCTGGTTTGTTCGGTTTTTAAAAAAAATTTATATAATTTTTAGACATTTTGAAATTTTTATGAGTTTAATTGGTTGTTAATGTCTTTTTATTATTTTCAGACATATTTGTCTTGTTGGAGGTGAAGCAGAGGTAAGTGCACTTTAAACAATGCAACATATTTAATTGTTCAATGAAAATTTTTTAAAAATTTGTTATTAAGGCACGTGCATATTTTATAATTTTTTTTAGAAAACTTTATTTGTTTTATCGGCTAACTAGGAATTTGGAGTTACATATTTATGATGGAAAATATTTTTTCTGTTTTGTTACTACCGTCTGAAAAATATGTTATGTTCGAAATTTCCATGAATTTATATTATTAAGAATATTATTCGGGCTTGAGTTCAACACCCATTAACGAAAAATGTTTAAAAAATATTGTAATGATTCTTAAGCATCAAATTTCTACTTCCAAATTATCGGTAGTAAATAGATAATTAAAATTGTGACTACCAAAGATTTCAGATAGATTATATAAGATTAGATTATATTTGATTAGAGAGACCCTTAAACACTGCGACCCTGTTTTGGATCTTTTGTGCAGGCCATGGGTTCACCATAACAGGTTTAATTCACGTACCAAAGATTTCAGATAGATATTAGATTAGATTTAATTAGAGAGACCCTTAAACACTGCGACCCTGTTTTGGATCTTTTGTGCAGGCCATGGGTTCACCATAACAGGTTTAATTCACGTATTTGATTGGTGAGAGGTTGAATATATTCTTCGGGGCTAGTGTTGCAGCACCTAAGATTCTTTCTCGAAGAGTCTATAGTGTTGGACATTTGCAAAATATGAGTTCTGAGGTTTCCTCTGCATAGCAGGATGAATGGATGACATCTGAGACCACAGTGTCCCGTGAGTAGTCCCGTAATTATTCTGATATCACTTTTGTTAAGCGATAATAACTTTTGGGATTTTCCTCTTGATAGCGTGATTAAGCGCTTTGTCTGTTGAAGCACTGTTGTTGCTTCCCAGTGGCGAGCAAATTCCGATTCGAACCACGATACGCATCTTTGTCTGACGTAACCTTGAGGATTAACAAAGAATGGTTCAGGGCCGATATGTGGGCGACGAGCGCCTCTATTTGCTAAGCAGTCCTCCCGTTCATTGCTAGAATGGCCTTCATGGCCGGATACTTAACATATTGTTAATTTGTTGTGTTTACCCAGTTCGTTCAATAAGGATACACAGTTCATCACAACACCCGACCTAACTTCATACGAAAGTAAGGGTTGACCTTCTCCTCACGCACTTTCTATCACAGATGAAGATGGCGTAGATTTCCGCCTGAAAGATTGAGGGATATTTTCAGGTAACTAGCAGTGCAATTTTGACTTCGCCGACAAGAAATCGAAGTAAAGTTGTACTTTGAAAATATTACTTGAACTTTTTGTGGATCTAATGGAAGTCTAGAAGTTAAACATTAGTGATAAAATCCCATACTGTTTAACATGACTTTCTTTAGAAATAGACGAAATTTTACTATTATATTTATAAATGCATAAGAGAAAAACTGAGTTTTTTTGGTTTTCATTTTTAAACCAGAGACCAATGTATATTTTGTTTATAAGATTGAGCACAGCTGAATCCGAATGTGATCTCAGATTTTTTCCATCACATCTCAGATTTGAGATATTGTGTTCTGAAATTTGAGAAAACGCCATTTTTGGGCAACTTTATTTTTAAAATGTATAGTATTGTGGCAAGAGCAAGACCTTGCCTCGATTCTGTTAGAGGGTTGATAGAAGGCCTACTTAGGAAAGCCTAATAGACGGTCTTACATTGGAAACCTATTAGAAGATATTTAGTTGAAGGCTTGTAAGGCTTGTAACGTAATGCATATAAGAAGGTCTTCCGTTAAAGGCATGTTAGAAGATCTTCAGGTTTCGCGTATTGCAATTCCGTGGTAAAGAGGTGCTACCAATACCTCTAGCCTGCCGGGCTAGATGGTGATGTCAATTCACTCCTCGGTCTTTGCTTTGAATAAAGTAGTTGACTTGGGGTCGTACCAGAGAACCACACAATCTGGTACTACGGGAGGCCAGTTGCCCGCAGGACTTGTCCTGATTGGTCAGTTGGTTGAAGTTATTTCGGGATCACGTCGTGGCTGTGGTTTAAACCCAAATTCGCGGGAAGAGAAAGTGGCGGTTTAAAGGACTGATGTACGGTGAATCTATAATTCGGGATAAGTTGGGTGCTATTGCCGAATGACAACAGACACCCCACAGAGGAGTGACTGTGGGACTAAGCGTTGGAAATGAGTTAGTGTTAAGTGTATATGATATATATATATACCTAAAGTGAGTCTTTCGAATGTTGTTCTATTATGAGTATGAATGAGAAGTATGCAGGGTGGAATGGTAATGAATGAAAGGTATCTTATACAAGTGACACCATTAAATTTACCTTCCTTGTCCTGGTATGTTCAATGAAAACTCTGTTTAAAATTTGATGGATACGATGGATTTGATGGATTCGTATTTGGTCTAACGGTAACGTCTCTAGGTGCTGTTGCCAACTCAACAGAGGCCTACCTATCTGCCTGGTTGTTAGCGGAAGTAATATTTTTGAATCTCGGAAGTTAAGCAACGGGGCAGCATTGGTCTGAGATTAGATAGTTCGAGTACTTGAGCAAAGTGCTTGTACATGGACCGGCACTGCCAAAATGAGGCAATGGTGAGTCGTCAAAGAAGCTCACTGTTTGGGTGAAAAAGTCCACCGTTCACGTAAAGCCCTTCCGCATAGGAAATTATATTGCAAGTTTTGAGAATTTTTTCATAAGAATTTATCAAATCTTTATAAAACCTGATATATGTATAAAACTTTTATAAGTTCCAGTGACTTTTTATATAATTTCCTATGCACACATTCTATAAAGCCTTCGACGGAAGCATGTCGCTATTAGGGAAGATTTGTATGGGCATGATGTGGATTATTTTAATAAAAGATGATTTTCTTGAGATACCCTCAAGTAAGCTATTTTTGTGTCATGAGCAAAAATGGAAGATACCTGTTTCGAGATATCCTTGACTCAAGGACTTTTTAGAATATAATTAACCTTATATTAACACTATAATATTTAAACAATAACAGGCTTTAATTAACGACTAAAGCGATTAAAATCTGAAAAACTTCTTATACAATTTAATTTAATGCTTGTTGAAAAAATCCAAAAAAAAAAGTATGAACTTTGAACCGCCATAAAATCTGAACCATAACGAATTTGGAAATTTTGGAGAACTTTAAATTTCTTATGCAAGGGAAGATTATATTTACCGAATTGCGTTCAAATCGGAGGGTCTCTTGTTCATAATAACAGTATCAGTATCTAGAAAGGAAATTTTATTTTGGAATTTTCTACGAAAATAACTTAAATAATTTTCATACAAATTTTTAAAATAAAATTTCCGTCCGAAATACTCCTTAATGGTAAGTAACTAATAAATTATTTTATAATTTATTAGCGAAAACGACGGGAATTTTTAAAACTTTTTTATAAATCTTATCAAGTTTTTAAAATCCTATAAATATTGTAAATATCATATACATATTAAAAACAAAATGTTAAAAGATGATTAAAATTATGAATAAAACTTAATGTGTTTAAAATTAAACAGCTTACGAATTCCTAATATTAAATTTTAAGCAATAAATTACTGAAATAAAAAACACATCTAAATAATATCTTACCTGCCATTACACTCAACTAAACTAGAGATAAAACGAGGCTCCTGCAATTCGACCTCTTTCAAAATATCCTGGACAATTTTGCAGATTTCTCGAATGGCCGTAGCAGTTTTAAACATGCGAGCTTGAACACGTTCAGCACAATAACGATTCATCTGATAGATCATGCGCGTTTGGGCGGCCATCATATCGGGCGGAACCAACATGGCGGCGGCTTCGGCTGCGGCGACAAAAAGTCTAGAAAATTTTACAAAAAAACCAGCACAAAACACAAGTTATGATTGTAATTTCCAAGCGAAATTCCTTTTTTTTCTGCAACTGCTATTGTCTGAAAAGACAATAAACAATTGTTCTGTTTTTTTATTTTCACGCCACAAAAGTTTTTTATTGTAGTACTTTTTTCTCTGCAGTCTTATAGAAATTGAACGTTTGTAGTTAGTTTTTTTTTCTTTGTACAATTTTTTTTAGAAGAAGCCGCCACAAAATTCACATTTGGTAAATAGTTTTTTACTTTTATTTTTTTGGTATTTTTCTTCTTATTGTCGTTGAATGGTTTAAATTTAAAATTCAAAAAGATTTAAAATCACTGATTGTTGTACGAGAAAAGTTGAGTATAGTACGAGCAGCAGCTAGCAGTGTACATGATGGCAATAAGAAACAACGAGCCGTTAAGTTGTTGGTAAAACATTAACGGATGCTTCTGGTCAACAAACGAAACGTAAAACAAAAACCAACCAAAACTCCTCTAGAGAATACGATGAGAAATCAAATCAATGCAATTGCAGTTTTGGCCTAAATGTTGCCATTTAAAAAACGAGTGAGTAGACAGACGGACAGACAAATATTCAAACATATAAACCATATAATATGAGTTCGAGTAGCAAACAATTTCTTCTTGTTTTTTTTTTTTGGGATGTGATGATGCAGTTGGTTCAGTTGGCGATTTTTGAAGTCGTTACGATGACTCCAATATGAATAAACAATAACCGACGAATTGCAGGATTTAAGGTTGTTTGGGTATTCAATGTAATTTTCCAGTTGTTGCAGTTTGAATTTAGGGTTTTTTTTGTTTATATTTGGATGGTTTCTTTTTCTTCCACTTCAGTTGTATTTTTGCTGTTTTTCTTGGGGAACGAAATGACACGCGTCGTGTAGTAAATCTCGCGGATATTTACAGCTTTATCCTCAGATAAAGAAGTTTAATACCTTTAAAAATACACAAATAAACATTCAAACAAACGATACAATTGTATACAAACTACCAACACCATCACAAACATATGTATACAATTCACACATCATATGAATCGTCTCGTTTCGGTCGTCCAGTGCACCACAGCAACAACAAGAGCATGAGATCCGGTGCTGCAGCAGTTCTTGCACATTAAATATTCTCACAAGGCACATTCACAAACAAACACATACCATACACAATGCATGAAGTAGTAGGCGTGTATGTAATGAGTACGTTATCGCTTTCGATGATGTTGAAGCCATTTCTGCTGCTGCAGCAGCAACAGCTATTGATGCGAGTTTGTCGGTTTTATAGAGATATCTTGTAGTTAAGTGTGAGCGTACAACAACGATTTTTATTGTTTTCCCAAGTATCTAAAAGATGTATCTTTTTTTAAGTTTTACTGTAGTGCAAAAAACGTGATTGCAGTTTTTTTTTTTTTACTTATTTTACACACTTATGTACGTATTTACGTATTCGAAAAATGTATCTATAAATTACCGGCGGTTTTTATCTTCACGATTTTAAGCTTCTCTGTTTATGTGTAGTATCTTTTAAGATTTATCCCTTTTTTCAATATTTATCTTTGATATGTAGTCTTATATACGTTAAATATCTTTTAGATACTTTTTTATTTATAAGTTTGCTTATAAATAGGAATGTTTTAGTGTGTGTGTTCAATTATACATAGATACACCATGAATTAGGCTCCTCCTCTTTATAGAAAAAACACAATTCTCTTTGTATTTGTTTGTTTTTTTCTATATACAAAAAACTCTCTCGTAATTTGTTGGGTAGTTTTTTCTCTCTCTTTATATGTCGCCCTCATAGATACAGATACTTTGGATTTAAGGTTGCCAGATAATGGAAATTTTTCTTTTTAAATAAGATTGTTTTCATTAGTTTCTAGGATTTAAAATATTACCTATTTCTACAACACATCATTATAGTTTTTTCCTTATTCTTGTTTGGAGTTGAGAGCAAATAGAACAGAACAGAACTAGAAGAGAACTAGAACACTACCAGAAAAGAACTAGAACAAAACTAGAACACAACTAGAACAGAACTAGAACAGAACTAGAACAGAACTAGAACAGAACTAGAACAGAACTAGAACAGAACTAGAACAGAACTAGAACTGAACTAGAACTGAACTAGAACTGAACTAGAACTGAACTAGAACTGAACTAGAACTGAACTAGAACTGAACTAGAACAGAACTGAACTAGAACTGAACTAGAACTAGAACTAGAACAGAACTAGAACAGAACTAGAACAGAACTAGAACAGAACTAGAACAGAACTAGAACAGAACTAGAACAGAACTAGAACAGAACTAGAACAGAACTAGAACAGAACTAGAACAGAACTAGAACAGAACTAGAACAGAACTAGAACAGAACTAGAACAGAACTAGAACAGAACTAGAACAGAACTAGAAGAGAACTAGAACTGAACTAGAACTGAACTAGAACAGAACTAGAACAGAACTAGAACAGAACTAGAACAGAACTAGAACAGAACTAGAACAGAACTAGAACAGAACTAGAACTGAACTAGAACAGAACTTGAACTGAACTAGAACTGAACTAGAACTGAACTAGAATTGAACTAGAACTGAACTAGAACTGAACTAGAACTGAACTAGAACTGAACTAGAACTGAACTAGAACTGAACTAGAACTGAACTAGTACTGAACTAGAACTGAACTAGAACCGAACTAGAACTGAACTAGAACTGAACTAGAACTGAACTAGAAGTGAACTACAACTGAACTAGAACTGAACTAGAACTGAACTAGAACTGAACTAGAACTGAACTAGAACTGAACTAGAACTGAACTAGAACTGAACTAGAACTGAATTAGAACTGAACTAGAACTGAACTAGAACTGAACTAGAACTAGAACTGAACTAGAACTGAACTAGAACTGAACTAGAACTGAACTAGAACTGAACTAGAGCTGAACTAGAACTGAACTAGAACTGAACTATAACTGAACTAGAACTGAACTAGAACTGAACTATAACTGAACTAGAACTGAACTAGAACTGAACTAGAACTGAACTAGAACTGAACTAGAACTGAACTAGAACTGAACTAGAACTGAACTAGAACTGAACTAGAACTGAACTAGAACTGAACTAGAACTGAACTAGAACAGAACTAGAACTGAACTAGAACTTAACTAGAGCTGAACTAGAACTGAACTAGAACTGAGCTAGAAACTTCGGAATATGAGCAAAATTATGAAAAGACATGATTTTTCCAGAATTTTGAATATATTTCTGATACTTTGACCGATATGTTTAAGTTTGTATATCAAAAGAGAGATATTCGAAGGGTTTTTCATTTATTATGCATTTTCTCAAGGATATATCCGAAAATATGGCAAGAATTATGGCTGTTTTGACATTTTGCTCATATTTTGGCCATTCGTGCACAGAATTTAGATTTTTTTTTGTAAATTAAAAATTTTTAGAAAGGTTAATATTTGTTTAAAAATATATGCTATAGTTATTTGATAGATGTTTAATATATACATATATTATAACTCTGAGTGATTTGATAAATAAATTATCACTCCACCCATAAAATAGCTAACAAATTTTCATCTGGCATCTCAATTTCAACCATTTCAAATATGTGAATTTTATCCAAATTTTATTTTATTGCTTTACATAAAACATTTGTTGGCATTTAAATAAAATTTATAGTAGAAAATACTTTATTATTTTAACATTTCCAAAACTTTTAACATTCCCGGTTTTTCACCCAAACACCTTATATATGTACATATGTACATACCGCCGTCCGTTCGAGCTATTCATGTAACCCCTCATTTTAAGTTCTTTTTCGTACACGAGTATAAATACAAAATATTTTCAATTTGTAGGCTATAATTTATCTTCATGTTGTTTTATTTCCATTTAAACATTTATTTTATGTATTTTTTTTTTGTATTTGGTTTCCTTTATGTAAAAAAAGAAGTACTTGGCAGTTTGTTGCCAGTATCTTCCAAAACAAACATCATCCCTGTTTTGGGAAATGTTTGAAAAAAGTTTTATATTTCACTTATACCTATTTTGCTTGCCTGCCTGGCTGACTGTCAGTCTCTTTTTTCCATATACAATATACATATGTATTTACCTTACCAGTGTATTTTTTTTTTTGGTAAATTATGTATTTTGAATGCCAGAATTAATGCTGTAGTTGCTATTTTTGACAGTTTTCTATGGTGTAAATATTTAAATGTCTGCAGTTTTTGTAGAGTTTGTATTTTTATTTTATTAAATTAAAATATCACTTTAAATTCAAAAATGATTAAGTATCCTGGTTGGTTGTAAAATATTACATTTTAAATACAGTTTCATTTGCAAAGAGAAATTTATTAGTGATATCGGTTACAAAATTATAAATAATTTTTTTTCTTTTTTGTTCATATCCTGGGTGGTTATGGAAAAAATTCAGTTCGGTATGCTCATACAAGTTTCAATCCAAAGCGTGTTACAAGACCTACCTCCCATTAATATCACAAAAGCTTTACAAATAAAGAAAACAGATTTGTTGTGGTCACTAAATATATGTATTTAAAACCGATTATTTTTTATAGTTGTAGTTACTTAATTGTAGTTGATACCAACGTATTTATTTACCTTATTTCTAGTTAATTTTTGTCGCAACCGAAAACTTAATTTAAAGTTCAGTTCTAGTTCAGTTCTAGTTCAGTTCTAGTTCAGTTCTAGTTCAGTTCTAGTTTAGTTCTAGTTCAGTTCCAGTTCAGTTCTAGTTCAGTTCTAGTTCGGTTCTGGTTCATTTCTAGTTCATTTGTAGTTCATTTCTAGTTCATTTCTAGTTCAGTTCTAGTTCAGTTCTAATTCAGTTCTAAATCAGTTCTTGTTTAGTTCTAGTTCATTTCTAGTTCAGTTCTAGTTCAGTTCTAGTTCAGTTCTAGTTCAGTTCTAGTTCAGTTCTAGTTCAGTTCTAGTTCAGTTCTAGTTCAGTTCTAGTTCAGTTCTAATTCAGTTCTAATTCAGTTCTAGTTCAGTTCTAGTTCAGTTCTAGTTCAGTTCTATCTCATTTCTAGTTCAGTTCTAGCTCAATTCTAGTTCAGTTCAGTTCTAGTTCTAGTTTTGTTCTAGTTCAGTTCTAGTTCAGTTCTAGTGCAGTTCTAGTTCAGTTCAGTTCTAGTTCAGTTCTAGTAGTCTAGTTCAGTTCTAGTTCAGTTCTAGTTCAGTTCTAGTTCAGTTCTAGTTCAGTTCTAGTTCAGTTCTAGTTCAGTTCTAGTTCAGTTCTAGTTCAGTTCTAGTTCAGTTCTAGTTCAGTTCTAGTTCAGTTCTAGTTCAGTTCTAGTTCAGTTCTAGTTCAGTTCTAGTTCAGTTCTAGTCAGTTCTAGTTCAGTTCTAGTTCAGTTCTAGTTCAGTTCTAGTTCAGTTCTAGTTCAGTTCTAGTTCAGTTCTAGTTCAGTTCTAGTTCAGTTCTAGTTCAGTTCTAGTTCAGTTAGTTCAGTTCTAGTTCAGTTCTAGTTCAGTTCTAGTTCAGTTCTAGTTCAGTTCTAGTTCAGTTCTAGTTCAGTTCTAGTTCAGTTCTAGTTCAGTTCTAGTTCAGTTCTAGTTCAGTTCTAGTTCAGTTCTAGTTCAGTTCTAGTTCAGTTCTAGTTCAGTTCTAGTTCAGTTCTAGTTCAGTCTAGTTCAGTTCTAGTTCAGTTCTAGTTCAGTTCTAGTTCAGTTCTAGTTCAGTTCTAGTTCAGTTCTAGTTCAGTTCAGTTCTAGTTCAGTTCTAGTTCAGTTCTAGTTCAGTTCTAGTTCAGTTCTAGTTCAGTTCTAGTTCAGTTCTAGTTCAGTTCTAGTTCAGTTCTAGTTCAGTTCTAGTTCAGTTCTAGTTCAGTTCTAGTTCAGTTCTAGTTCAGTTCTAGTTCAGTTCTAGTTCAGTTCTAGTTCAGTTCTAGTTCAGTTCTAGTTCAGTTCTAGTTCAGTTCTAGTTCAGTTCTAGTTCAGTTCTAGTTCAGTTCTAGTTCAGTTCTAGTTCAGTTCTAGTTCAGTTCTAGTTCAGTTCTAGTTCAGTTCTAGTTCAGTTCTAGTTCAGTTCTAGTTCAGTTCTAGTTCAGTTCTAGTTCAGTTCTAGTTCAGTTCTAGTTCAGTTCTAGTTCAGTTCTAGTTCAGTTCTAGTTCAGTTCTAGTTCAGTTCTAGTTCAGTTCTAGTTCAGTTCTAGTTATAGTTCAGTTCTAGTTCAGTTAGTTCAGTTCTAGTTCAGTTCTAGTCAGTTCTAGTTCAGTTCTAGTTCAGTTCTAGTTCAGTTCTAGTTCAGTTCTAGTTCAGTTCTAGTTCAGTCTAGTTCAGTTCTAGTTCTAGTTCAGTTCTAGTTCAGTTCTGTTCAGTTCTAGTTCTAGTTCTAGTTCAGTTCTAGTTCAGTTCTAGCATTCAGTTCTAGTTCAGTTCTAGTTCAGTTCTAGTTCAGTTCTAGTTCAGTTCTAGTTCAGTTCTAGTTCAGTTCTAGTTCAGTTCTAGTTCAGTTCTAGTTCAGTTCTAGTTTCAGTTCTAGTTCAGTT